CGTTGTTAGCAAGTATAGTCACCATGTTCTACATTAGATTCTCAGAGGTTAGGCATCCTGTGGCTGAACATTTACATCCCCTTACCGGCCTCTCCTTATCCTTCTCTGTGCCCCCAGCTCCTGGCAACCACTTTTCTACTCTCTCTTTCTATGAGTTTGACATTTTACAAGAAGATTCCACATGTGAGCGATAACACTCTATATTTGTCTTCCTCTGCCTTACTTCATTTAGCGTAATGCCATCAAGTTCTATCCAGGTTGTCCCAAGTGGCAGGATTTCCTTCTATCTCGTGGCTGAATAATATTTCACAGTGGGGAATATATATTACATAACATGTGTAACATAAAATGTATATCACATCTGTATCCATTCACCTGTTGACAGACAGGCTATTTCCATGTCTTAGCTGCTGTGAATAATGTTGAAATGGACATGGGAGTTCTCTGACATAATGATTTCACTTCCTTTGGATTATATACCCAGAAGTGGGATTGCAGGATCATATGGCCATTCCATTTTAACTTCTTGAGGAATTTCCATACTGTTTTCCACAGAGGCTGCACCAATTTACATTATGGCCAACAGTACATGAGGGTTCCCTTTTCTCCACATCCTCACCAACCCTTGTTATCTTTTGCTTTTCGATGCTTGCCATTCTAACAGGTGCAAGGCGATGTCTCGTTGGGATTTCGATTTGCGTTACCTGATGATGAGTGACACGAAGCGTCTACTCAGGTATCTGATGGCCATCTGGGTGTCTTTGGAAAAATGCCTATTCAGTTCCTTTGCCTAATTTTTAATCAAATTGATTTGTTTTTTTTTTCCAGCTATTGAGTTGTGTGATTTCTTTATATGTTTTTAGATATTAACTCCATATCAGATGTGTGATTTGCCAACATTTCCTCCCATTCTATAGGGTGCCTTTTCTTTTTGTTGGTACTTCCTTTGCTGAGGAGAAGTTCTTTAGTCTGATGTCATCCCACTTCTTTATTTTTCCTGTTATTGCCTTTGCTTTTGGTTTCAAATTCAAAACATCATTGCCAAAACCAGTGTTGAAGTGTTTACCCCATTTTCTTCTAGAAGCTTTATGGTTTCAGGTATTGTATTCAACAGTTTAATCCATTTTGAGTTGACTGTTGGGATAGATACAAAAAAAGTAGTGGATATCCACTTTTGCCAGCATCATATTGAAGAGACTATCCTCTCTCCATTGTACATTCTTAGTGTCTTTGTGGTAACTTGGTTGAGTATATATACATGAGTTTATCTCTGTATAAACTCTCTATTTTGTTCCATTCATCTTTGTGTTTTTATGACAATACCATAATGTTTTAATTACTACAGCTTTGTAATGTAGTATGAAGCCAGAAAGTGTGATGCCTCCAGCCTCTGTTTTCTTTCTCAAGATTGCTTTGGCTGCTGGGGGTTTTGTGGTTTCATACAAATTTTAGGATTGTTTTTCTGTGAAAAATGATGTTGGAATTTTGATAGGATGGCATTGAATCAGTAGATTGCTTTGGAGAGTATGGAACATTTTAATCATATTAATTCTTCCAAACCCTGAGCACAGGAAGTATTTTCCCTTACTTGTATCATCTTCAACCTTTTTCATCAATGTCTTTCAGTTTTTCATGTGCAGATACTGGTGTCATTTCCTTGATTCAGTTTGTTCCTAAGTATTTTGCTCTTTTTGATGCGGTTTGAAATGGGATTGGTTTCTAGAAGTTCATTGTTGGTGTTTAGAAGCACAACTGATTTTTGTATATTGATATTGTATCCTGCAGCTCTACTGAATTCATTGGTTGTAACAGTTTTTGGGTGGAGTCTTGAGAGTTTTCTATATATAAGATCGTGTTGTCTGCAAACAGAGACTTGTTTTCTTCTCCTTTCCCAATATGGATGCCTTTTATTTCTTTTTATTGCCTAATTGCTCTTGCTGGGACTTCTTGTACTTTGTTAAATAGGAATGGTGGCTCTGGGCACCCTTATCTTCTTCCCAATCTTAGAGGAAAAGCTTTCAATGTTTTACTGTTGAGGATGATGTCAACTGAAGGATTGTCATATATGACTTTTGCTACGTTGAGGTGATTTCCTTTATACTTAGTTTGTTGTGAGTTTTTATCTCAGAGCGTTTAAAACATTTTGAAGTTTCAAACTAGTACCTGATGTCTTTTGAAGGGACTAAAATGCAAATATAGAAAATTGTAGTTTAATAGAGTTGGTACTTTTGACCCCCTGTAGAACTGATCAGGAAATAATTAGGTCCAGAATTTGAAGGAACATGGTTAAAAATCTTGTTGTAATTAAGATTTGCTAAGTCTGTGATGTTGTCTCCTAGAACAAATAGGAAAAACCAGACTAAAAGGACACTATAATTAATGGCCTTCATAGCTTTGTGTGTAGTCAAGAGATTCTATATGAAAAGTACTGACCAGAAAAAGCTAACTATTATTCATGAAAAAGCAGGCTGTAGGAGTGCTTGGGTGGCTCAGTTGGTTAAGTATCCATCTCTTGATTTTGGCTCAGATCATGATCTCAGGGTCATGCTGGGCATGGAGTCTGCTTAGGATTCTCCCTCTTCCTTACTCTGTACCTTCCTCACTCATATATGTGCATGCACTCTATCAAAGAAAAGAAAAACGAAAAAACAGGTTGTAAAACAGGAGAATTCAATACTATTATTTTAAATAATATAGAAATAAAATATAAGAAGAAAAGTTACTGGGAGATTTTATCCCAAAATAATATTAGTGGTTATATCTGGGAATTATTTTTCCTTCTGGGCTCTCGTTTCTGAATTTTTAAATTTCATATGATTAAATTATTTACAAAGTATTTTTTTTATTGTAAAAGAAAACAGTCAAAAGATAAATGTCACGGGAACAGAAATATCAAATCGTCTATTGATTGCCCATGTAGGAAGGAGTTGTAAAGAAATAGTGTCTGTTTTACTGTAAGATAGAGTCAGAAAATCTATTTTAGACAGGAGTTTTATTAACTGGAGCTCTCAAAAATGTCATCAGAGTCACCAAGGACACAATTAAAGATACAGGTGCTAGGCTGTATCATTCCAAAACAGTATGCCAGGGTAGGGACTTGGGAACCCAACCACAGGGCATTGGTTAAATTTTGGCACATCCATCTGAAACATATATCCATTAACAGTCATGTCAAGAGACTACTTGAAACAACGGGAAGGTATTCACAGTATTTTTTCTTTTTTTAATGTTTATTTATTTATTTTGAGAGAGAGGGAGAGAAGGAGAATCCCAAACAAGCTCCACTGTCAGCACAGAGCCTGATGCGGGGCTTGATCCCATGAACCATGAGATCATGACCTGAGCCAATATCAAGCTGGAAAGTTAACCAGATGAGCTACCCAGGCACCCCTATGGTATCTTAAGTGAAAATATATCTTTACAAAATAATGGGATAAAATTTTGCAGAGGAATTTTTACACAAACACACACACACACACACACACACACACGCACGCACACACACACATTCACGCATGCCCCAAAAGAACATACACCAAAATGTGAACAATAATTAATAGCTTGCATAATGAGATGATTATTTTTATTTTCTTCATTTTGGTTTGTTGCATTTTGTGAATTTTCTACACTTTTCAAATGTTGCTTTTGTAGTTATTAGAAAATTTTTGAACTGTTTTTAAAAATTATTTTTGAAGGATTATTTTAAAATTTAAAATTAATTTTTAATTAAAAATGTTTGTGTTTATTTTTGAGAGAGAGTGCGAGTGGGGGAGGGGCAGAGAGAGAGGGGGACAGAGGACCCAAAGTGGGCCCCGTGCTGATAGCAGAGAGCCTGATGCAGGGCTTGAACTCACAAAGCATGAGATCATGACCTGAGCTGAAGTCAGACACTTTTTTTTTTTTTATGTTTTATTTACTTCTGAGAGAGAGACAGCGTGAACAGGGGAGAGTCAGAGAGAGAGGGAGACACAGAATCCGAAGCAGCCTCCAGGCTCTGAGCCAGCTGTCAGCACAGAGCCAGACGCGGGGCTCGAACCCACGAACTGTGAGATCATGACCTGAGCTGAAGTCAGACACTTAACGAACTGAGCCACCCAGGTGCTCCTGAGAGACATTTCTAAGGCAAAAGACACAAAACTTGACAGCCTTGTGTGCTGTGTTATCTACTAGTGATATCACTTCTGGGATTTTTTTTTTTTTTTTGAGACTTCACCTAGGTATTTTTTTCTTCAAATAATAGAAAGCATTGCCTTGTATTCACATATCTCCAGTTATTTTACTTTTTCTCTCTACGCCTAGAGAATATTAAGTGTGGGGGAAAAAACCTTTTGTTACAATAGAATGAGGTTATATGGATGTACGTATGTATATATATTCCTTGTATGTTTATTTTGTATTCACATGTATATATTTTTCCTTATTATCAACAATCACCTTCCCCAGAGGACATACTGAGAATAAGCCTGTTGAGCTTTGTGAGCGTGGGACCTGGAAGATTCCACTAGCCCCGTCTCTGAGTGTTCCATTAAGCTCTCTCACATGACATTGGTGAATGCCAACATGTGTGACAAGTGTACATAAGAATGTCACATCTCAGAGTGGCACCCATAGCCACCTTGTCATTCCTTATCATGTGTGTGTTTGGGGATGAACTTGCCCTTTGAATCTTCTTTTTAATTTTTTGTTAATGTTTCTTTATTTTGAGAGAGAGAAGGAGAGAGAGTACAAGCCAGGGAGGGCAGAGAGGGAGAGAGAGAGAATCCCAAGCAGGCTCTACACTGGCAGCCTGGAGCCTGATGCGGGGCTTGAACCCACGAACTGCGACATCAAGAGTTGGACACTTGAGCTGAAATCAAGAGTTGGACACTTGACCGACTGAGCCAGCCGGGTGCCCCCTGCCCTTTGAATCTTCTCGTATTTTCTCAGAACTTTTCAAGAGCGTAGTGGTGAATCCTGTGGTTCGCTTGGTGTAGAAACGGGTCTGCTTTTTGTTCTTGCAGATCTCAGCTCATTTTCAAATACCTTGAAGAGCTGCCGGAATGAGAAAAAGGAGTGCTCGGTGTTCAGCCAGCGGACGGAAGAGGCATCTGCCGTGCAGTACTTCGAGGTCAGGACAGTCGTTCCGGGCGGAGCGGAGTTTCCAGGTGGCGCGCACCTGCAAACACATCTGAACGGGCCAGAGGGTGGAGAGGAGGCAAGGGACGAGGTGCTGCAATGCTTCTGAGAGTGTGGTCCCCTGACCCAGTGGCCCCCGGGCTGGGATCCTCCCTCTGTCGCATCTTGGCTTTCAGGGCTTGAGCAAGCTGTTCTACCTTTCTGAGCCTCAGTTTCGTCATCTGGGGAACATGATGCGTGTGCCTTTTGTAGTGATTGAGTTTGATTAGAGGATGTGTGGACATCATTTTTCAGGGTGCCTGTAACATAGCAAACTCTACTAAACAGCGGCAGTTATGACGATGATGTTTGTGAGCGTAAGTGCTCATGGCCCTGTGTGTACCCCATCACCCAGCTGGCTGGCTTGTCCGATCAGGATTACCATCGTCACTACCTCCTGCCTCCTCCTGCCCTCACTCAGGATCTCTGTCCAAGTTTTCTTTCCTGGCTCATGGGACTCATTAGAGACATTTGGCCTCTGGCCTTTCTCTCTCTTATCCCTGTTCCTCTTGATCTGTGTTTTCTCATAGCCTCTGCTTTCAGGAGGGACCCTGGGCACTTGTCTGACCAGTTTTGAGGCCTGAATCTATCCCATGGAGGATCTGTCTTGGGTCACCTTACAGTTTTAGACCTTACAAATAGAGCTAAGAAGACAGCCCACTGTGTCTTTCAGAGCCTCAGCTTGCCTGTGTTTTAGACTAAGCCTACCTGGACCCAAGTGGCTCTAAGAGCCAGACACTCATGAAGGTGATACTTGTGGGTTGTTGACTGTCCCTATCCTTGTCTTTCTGCTGCAGTTTTACGGCTGCATTTCCCAGCAGCAGAACATGATGCAAGATTTTGTGAGGACAGCCACTTACCACAGAGCCATCCTCCAGAACCACATTGACTTCAGAGACAAGGTAGTGTTGGCAGCATGTTATTATCTCAAACCATTTGAAGAAGGCTGGTCAAAACCTAGAATCAAAATTAAGCTTCGATAGAATTACCATTATGACCCAGGAATTCCATCCCCCTCCCCCATCATATGTGCCAAAGAATTGAAAGCAGGCATTCAAACCACTTACTTGTACGTGAATGTTCATAGCAACATGACTCACAATAGGCAGAGGTGGAAAGAATCCAAATGCCCATCACCTGATGAATGGAGACACAAAATGTGGTATGTCCATACAATGGAATATTGTAGGCATCATTCCTATTTATCATATCCACAGAAATGATGCAGTGCTGATACGTGCTTCAACATGGAGAAACCATAAAACCTGCTGGGTAAAAGGACTTACAAAAGCTTGTACATATGATTCCATTTACATGAAACATCCCAAATAGGCAAATCAGAAAGGAAACAGACTCGTGGTTTCCAGGGGCAGAGGGAGGGAGAAGTGGGGAGTGGTGCTTAATGGGTATAGGGTTTCCTTCTGGGGTCATAGAAATGGCTTGAAACCTGATACAGGTAACAGTTACATAACGTAGGGAATGTGCCAAGTGGCACTGACTCTTAAAATTTAAAATGAGTAATGGTTCATGTGATGTTACGTGAGTTCTACCTCCATAAAGAAATTAAGCTTTGAGTGCCAGGGACTCAGGAGACTGAATGCACTATCTCCTGGTGCACTGAATGGGTTAGGACCTCTATTCCTACCTAATGAACAGCTCTTATTAAGTGACTCTACTTCAATTCTTTTCTTAGACTCCACAAGTGCTGCACTTATTTCCTTCACAAAACGGATCTGAATGAGGAATGACTGCCAACACGTTATACAAGGATTGTCCCTTATTCTCCTACCTGTTAAAATACATAACCAGTGTTCAAAATACTGTGCTTCTCATCTTGGAGACAGTAGGACTGGTCACTGGAATCAGCCATCCCGGGATTGAGTTTTATGTTTCCTCCCTAACTAGCTGTGTGATCTGAGGCAAAACACTAAACCCCTCTGAGCCTCACAATCTATTCTATGGCCACACTAAATTCTAGACCACAGCCTTTGATGTTTGCAGCATTCATTCCTCTGGAAGGGTGTGGTAGAACATTGAAATAACGATCCCAATGACTCATGGCTCCCTGTGTCCACGCCCATTTGCAATGTCTTAAAGCTTTCCCTCTCATCAGAAGGTAGTCTAATTTTTTACCTTTATCTCTATGCTGTTCTTATGATACACTGTCACCAAAGACTGTGACACAGGTAACATTCTGTGGATTTCAGAGCTTGATGGGTCTTGTGGCTCCTGGCCTTACTTACCCCCTTGGAACCCTGAGATTATCATACTCAGTGAAGAAGACCAGTCTAGCCTACTGGCGGTTGAAAGGTCACGTAAAAGAGAATTTAAGATCCTCCAGTCAGCAGCCAGCACCAGCCACCAGTCCTATGAGTGGGGCCGTCTTGGCCCGCCAGTCCGGCCGCCCCTCCAGCTGAATGCAGAAATGTGAATGTGTCCAGGAAAGACCAGCAGAGAAGCTAGCTAGCCCTCCCATGGAATTGAGAGAAATTAGAAATTGTTTCCAGTTTAAGCCACTAAATTTTTGGTGTGGCTGGTTATGCAGTACTAGTTAATTAAAACAGAGAGAAAACGTGTGAAAAAGTAGTGATAAACTGGTGCCCAGCTTGCAGTTGATTAGCCCCGGCCTTCATTCTTCTGTCATATTCTGCTACTGAGCCCGTCAGAGTTTTCGGTCTTTTTTATTTTATGTTGGTTATTCCAGAATTTCCATTTGGCTCTTGTTCTATGTCATCATTTCTTGCCCAAGACTCTGTGTCTTACCCATTGGTTTCAGCAGTGTTAACGATTGCTGGTTGGAGCTTCTTTATCATCGTTTTTGTCCGCTCATTCTAACATCCGTGTTACCGCTGTGCTGGCTGCAGTTCGTTGCCTTTTCCAAGAGAATTGGAATTTCCCAGATTGTTCATATGCCACAGAATTGTGGATTATATTCTGCACATTTTGAGTATTAGGAGACTCTCAGTTCTTGCTGAAAGCCTAGGGAGAATGTTATTTTTGTTTTCGTGTTCCTTCAGCTTGGTCCGGTTCAGGCTGCAAGTTCCACACCACAGGCTGGTCTTCTGAGAGCTCTGTTGTGTGTCAGTTCAATTTTCAAAGGCTTTGGCAGTGCTATTTGGGTCTGCATGTGTGTGTCACCCGATGGTCAGTCTGGCACCTGGGCAGAGTCCTCAAAGTATTGATCTGCTAATTAAGACCATATTCGTGCATGTACCGATCTATGGTGAGCCCAGGAGTTTATTTTTTAGTTTTTTAAATTAAGTTTATTTATTTATTTATTCTGAGAGAGAGAGAGAGAGCGAGAGCAGTGGGGTAAGGGCTGGAGGTAGTAGGAGGAGAGAATGCCAAGCAGAGCCCGAGGCGGGGCTTGAACTCACAAACCATGAGATCATGACCCGAGCCGAAATCGTGAGCCAAGTGCTTAACTCACTGAGCCAGCCAGGTACACGAGCCCAGAAATTTATTCAGGAAACAAACAAACAAACAAACAAAAAACCTTTATGGAGTTATTTTGCCAAACTCCTTCTTCTCCATGATTTCCATGGTACTTTCTGATTCCCTGGACCACTTCTCAGTCTCTGGCTGAAAAGCTCACTCTGTCCTGCACTTCTATGACTTTGCTGACACTGGCCACGCAGAGAGAGGACAAAGAAAGAAAAAAGGCACCGGCGGGGGTCGGGGGTGGTGGAGGGTGGTCTCAGCCTTTGGGAATGACAGCATTGAATGCAGAGGTAGGTTGCCCTCCTGCCTGGTTTCGGCTCCTGTAGGCTGATGCTGTCCCTACCCCTAGATCACTTGGGCCCAAACACAAAAGAGAAGGAAGGGAAGGAAAAGAAAGGAAGGAGAGGAGATAGAAGAGGAAAAAAATAAGAAGAGGAAGGGAAAACGAAAGCATTTTCATACTCGAGATTATAGCGTCCTTTCTTGATATTGGAGCCAGAACAAGGAGTCTCCAGACGCTCTCTTGTCTGTGCTTCGGCGCCCATTTCCGGTGTGTTGACTTCAGGTCATGGAACGGGTGGAGGATGCGGTGCGATAGGACGTTGAATTCTGGTCTTCCCCAGTGCTGCCACTGCGTGCTTGTAGAGTCTTCACGTGCCTGCTCCACGCGTTCCGTATTTAGTGGAAGAGACAAGGGACAGGGGACTCTCCCCAACGTACCCAGGACCAGGTGCTTCTAAAAGGCACGTCTAGGTACTCTGATGAATGAGCGTGCTGAGACCAGAGATGGCAGTTTGGCCCCAGGGTCTCACATGTCTTGTCATATGTCCTGAGGTGCCCAGGACCCTGTCTTTGCCAAAGGGGCCCTTCCTGGTTAACAGAGAGGAGGTAACATTCCTCTCCTTACGATAGGTAGGCAGGGTTCGGATAGAGGGGAAGAGCTTGTTTCTTTTGACCCTGAATCTCACGGTCAAGATTGTGGGTAAGCAGTCTTATTGAACTAAGGTAGATATTATTTTTGCTAACTGAAAAAAAAAAAAAAAAGATCAACTCCAAACTATTGATTGCTATGTGGTTTGAAGATATTTCCTAGAGGTAATACTTTTGCTTAGGGAAACTTCTCTCCCTCCGAAGTTGCTTAGTTTTCGTCTACAACCTGTTTTCTATTATCTACAATCTATGTTCCATATTATTTATAATCTGTTTTTAATTCTGGGGTTGACAGCTTCTAAAGACCACTCCCCAAACGACTGATCATATGAATAACTTGCATCCTAATCTTTGACACAACTTCACAGGGATTATGTCACTTGACCCTTTCACTTGTGTATCTTTTCATCCATAAAAATGAAGGTACTGGACGGGATCATCTTTAAGGTCACCCACAGCTGTAACCTCATTTGATTTTGCACAAATACGCTTTTCCTGCCAGCCCGAAACAGGTGTGTCTGCCAGTGAAATAAAATAGACATCTATCTGTTGGGGTTTATGAAGGTGAAAATTAATCACATCGTTGATTATTAATTATACCTCTTTCCCCTTCTGAGTTCCGAACCAATTTAGAAGTAGACACAGACGTCAGGTAGAAGTAATATCAGCTTTACAGTTAGTGGTGCTGCTTGGAGAACAGGGCTTGCGCCTGTGACCAAATAAGGCCCTCCTATTTCTTTGTCCCCAGTCTGAACTTTTCCACCCATTTGTCCGCTGGACACGCAGTCTCCCCGGACAAACCAGAGCCTGCCATGCCAGCTTGCATGTGGGGAACTCAAGAGCATGTGCCTGATCAGGGGGCAGGCAGGCTGGCCCCTTCCAGGTGCCAGGCTGGGCACACTTGTTCCTATTTCCCAGTGTGCCCGGACACATCGGTCACTCCTCCTATGAAGGAAGAAGAGGAAGATCAGTGATTTTTCCAGTACTGACCTCTCCTGGGAGTCCGTATCCCCTCCCCTCTGAGTACTGAAACAGCTAAGTATCCTACTTTTTAAAAAAAATTTCTTTGTGTCTTTATTTTGAGAGACAGAGACAGACAGGGTGTGAGCAGGGGCGGGGCAGAGAGAGAGGGAGACACAGACTCTGAAATAGGCTCCAGGCTCCGAGCTGTCAGCACAGAGCCCGACGCGGGGCTCGAACCCACGGACTGTGAGACCATGACCTGAGCCGAAGTGGGATGCTTAGCCGACTGAGCCCCCCAGGCGCCCCCAGCCATCCTACTTTTAATGTCTCAAGAATCCCTTCCATCCTGGGCAAACTAGAACAGTTGCTCACCCCAACTCTGAATCTACCAAATCTACCACAAATCCACAAACCTTTTTAAATCCTTATTTGTTTCCTTTATCATTTGAAGAGCATTCTGGAATAGCCCTATGAGGCCATGGAGGATGCTGCCTTTTCACTAAGCCCCTTGCATTCTTCCTCGGTGAAATTAGTTACCTAAGGGGCATGGGTTGAGCATGATCAGTAC